CGGGTGCCCTTTGCAGTTACCTGTACAGACAAAGGCTGTACGTGGTGCTTGGCTGAGAGCCCTCACCCAGCTGGTGGGCACTGTGCAGTGTAATCCTGCTTTTCCTGGAGGGACTTGTACTTCAGAGAGCCCTTCCGATACAGAGTAGGAGGAGAGTGCATCCTGCAGCAGAGGTATGACACCGTGGGGTGTCTCTAGGAGCTGTGCAGGCACATGTGGAGGGCGGTGGAGAGCAATGGGGCAGTGGCTGAGCTCTGGCTCTTCTCATTCCCAGAGACCCAGCCTCTAGAGGAGCTGTGCAGGGGAGCCCAGGGCATATCTCGCAGTGGCATCCAGAGGCTGGTGGAGTGTGAAGCATGTGCCCATGCCAGGGGCTGAGCTCTGGCTCTTCTCATTCCCAGAGACCCAGCCTCTCCCCACAGCAACAACATGGGCTGTCATGGCTTGCCCTTACAGATATGATTGCTGGAGGAAGCTCTTTATTTTCCAGGAAGGCTCTAAAATATTATTTCTCATGTGAACCTGGACCCTTGGTCAAGACCACGGCCATGTGCTGTGTTGCAGGTACAAAGGTTGTTTTTATTCCCCAGGCACTTGCAGCCAAGCATGCTTCTGGGGCAGCTGAGTCTGAACTGCCCCTTTCAAGGTCTGAAATAGAGTCTGAGCTGTTTTCAGGTCCTTGATTTCACAGACATTAATGAGCCAAGACCTGGGAACAGTATTTTAGATGAGCAGCATCTGCCAAGTTTTCTCCCATGTAGTTTAACAACTTTTTGGTCACTTTTCAGACCTGTCTTGACAGCAACACTGGGATGGGACACTGCTGCTTTCTTTTGTGCTCCAAACAGGTTAGAATGAACAGAGCAAACTCCCAGTTAGTTGCAACCACTGCTGTGATGTGAACCAACATCACTGGGTCTCCCACTCCTGCATGCTGCAAGAGGATCCACCGGTGGCCCACAGTGACAGAAGGAGCCGGACCCAGTGAGGTGCCCTTTGCTTTGGCTTTGGCACTGCCACCTCCTGCATGCGTGGGATCCTCCGGGGTGAGCTGTGGCTCAGCCCTTGTCCCTGTGCTGACTGCGTCCTGCCCTCTGCTGTGGGCACCCTGTCCGTGCTTTGTCCGTGTCTTCCATCAGCGCCGACTCCTGGAGCCCCTTCGCTCTTGAGCACTGGAGTGTTTTCCTGCTG